ACGTGTTCTAGTGTGATCTGAGTTTTACATGTATGCTAGTATGATCTGAGTTTTACGTGTGTGCTAGCATGGTCTGAGTTTTACATGTATGCTAGTATGGTCTGAGTTTTACGTGTGTGCTAGCATGGTCTGAGTTTTACATGTATGCTAGTATGGTCTGAGTTTTACATGTATGCTAGTGTGATCTGAGTTTTACGTGTATGCTAGTATGATCTGAGTTTTACGTGTGTGCTAGCATGGTCTGAGTTTTACATGTATGCTAGTATGGTCTGAGTTTTACATGTATGCTAGTGTGATCTGAGTTTTACGTGTTCTAGTGTGATCTGAGTTTTACATGTATGCTAGTATGATCTGAGTTTTACGTGTGTGCTAGTGTTATCTGAGTTTTACGTGTTCTAGTGTGATCTGAGTTTTACGTGTGCTAGTGTGATCTGAGTTTTTTGTGTGTGCTAATGTGATCTGTTTTACGTGTGATCTGAGTTTTACGTGTTCTAGTGTGATCTGAGTTTTATATGTGTGCTATTGTGATCTGAGTTTTACGTGTTGTAATGTGATCTGAGTTTTACATGTATTCTAGTGTTATCTGATTTTTACGTGTGCTATTGTGTTCTGAGTTTTACGTGTGCTAGTGTGATATGAGTTTTTGTGTGTGCTAATGTGATATGAGTTTTACGTGTATTTTAGTGTGATCTGAGTTCTACGTGTGTGCTTGTGTGATCTGAGTTTCACCATCGACATATAAATATTGGACAATGGGTTTCCATAGGCTCCAATAATAAGTTTTTTTGCTAAAATTGGAAGTGGCCACCACCGCCATTTTGACCGTGTCACAGGTGGAACACAGAGGTCTCCGAGAGCTCCACAAGCCAGCAGCCGCACAGCAGACAAGCGCCGCTGCGATCTGACATGCACAGAGCTGCCGCTGGGGAGAACCGGGTGGAATGGTTTCCATCCCAGAGCTCCACAAGCCATTAGCCCGCGCAGAAGACAGAAGCCGTGATCAGACAGAGATGCGCCGAGCTGCGGGGAGGGGAGAACCAGCCGGCAGCCCACGCAGCAGACAGAAGCCGCGATCAGATAGAGATGCGCCGAGCTGCGGGGAGGGGAGAAGAGCTTCACAAGCCGATAGTCGGAACCCAGCTCCACAAACATGTTATATTTCAACCCATTTTCTAAAGTGCAGCATTATGTTAAATGCACTGGGTTTTACCCTATTACGTTTAAATTTCATGGTTAAACCAAGCCCCCACAACGGAGCTCTAAAGTTGAGTCAAACCCGGAAGTACCAAAAATTGCAGTTCCACCCTCATCCGCTGGGGGCTGGTGTCAGAAGCGAGCAAATCCTCATTGACTCCCATGTTAAAAATATCAATTTCACAGCAGAAATAAACATGTTTACAGCCTGGTACCAGAACATGTTTTTTGTCTAAATTATCTAGTTTACACACATGACAACTCTGAGGGGGGTGAATTATTTTCTCACTCTTCTGTTTAAGTGTATTAAAAGCCTAAAATTCTGTATAATTAATGAGCATCCGACACACGTGACCACAGAGCTAGCTCCGTGGAAAGGCCTCAGTAGAGCCTCGGTCTGGCCTGGAAACTGTTTCGGGATTTTGAGTCTCTCTGTTTGTGTATTATGTTTTGGATATTATTTGTGCAATTGTTGGACAAAATGACTTGCTGTGGCATTAATTGCATTAATAGAGTATCCAAGGAGTCTCCACTTCATTTTTTTCGGTAAGTTAAATCATATGTATGTATTTTAGGTCACTGCCGCCTTTAAACTAGAAGAGTTTATCGAAGTAGCTAGCTAACTATCATTTTAACATGTAGCATGTACTGTTTAACCATGAAATTTAGATGTAAAATACGGTAAAATAATTAATAGGGCATATGTCGATGGGTAAAAGGGTAAAACCCAGTGCATTTAACATAAAAATAGGTTGAAATATGACGGAGCTCTTGGAGGGACACTTCTGTGTTCCATTCTTCCACCCGGTTCTCCCCAGTGGTCAGCCCAGTGCATGTCTGACCGATGCAGCGCCTACTAGCTGCTGCGCGGGCTGACCGCTCATGGAGCTCTCGGACGGGGCTGACCGCTCGTGGAGCTCTCGGACGGGGCTGACCGCTTGTGGAGCTCTCGGACTCGTAGAGAGACCTGACCATAGAAATACTGCAGCTCAATTCCCTACCTAAATGCAAAGTTTGAGAGATGTGGTTCACTTAGGTCTGCACGGCCTTCGGGCTAATTTGTCAAGTTCACAAAATGTGGAACGCGATGTAAGTTTAGAATCAGTGGCGAATCGGAACCCTAACCCTATCTCGAAGCCCTGGGTGACGAAACGGTCCACATGACTATTACTGTCAGGCTCGGAGAAAATTCGGGTTGTTTTTGTGTCAGTCGATTCTGCAACAGTGACTCTAACTAACGAAGCACTAGTTGACAGACATCATTAGAGCGTGAAGTCCAGCACAGCGTGACCCGGTTCTGTAAGGAATTCTGTTCAGGAGGTCGCATTTCAGGCTCTCCACATCATATGTGACTGACTTTTACGTTATATTAACGATCACACACTAGGAATGTTATAAAGCGCCCATACAGGACAGTTTCTTTTGTATATTATCTGACTTTATAAACTCCAACAACAATGTGCTTCTATTTTTTTTTTCAGGCTAAATCTACCCAAGACATTGGCTGTCAGACTGATTTAGTAGTCTGCAAGAATGCATTTGTCCAGGCTGATGTGAAGCCTTACCCGTAGCAAAGGTGAATTATTTTTAATAATCTTCTATGTAAACATTTTATTATTACCTTCTAGTTTTAATTTGTTTTGCAGATTATTGTTACACGTGATTTTATGCTCTTTAAAACATTTATAAATGTGCTGTTTCTTTGTTTTTTATATAGCCACCCAGTTTAGAGCTCCTAGCTGCAGTGTGTCTTGTGACACAGGGACCATGATGGAAATTCATCTTCCAGAAAGTCTGGCTCATCGTTTAGCCAGATTTCTAAGGTATAGGCCAAAAATGTTTAGGTTAGTTTTGATAAGGTCTGTGCATCTCTCATTTCATGACGTAACTTTTCATATTTTACTTCCTGGGTGCCTTCAATGTGCAGGGACTGTCCAAGCAGACATTCTATCGACATCAGGCAAAGCTCTTAATTCCAACAGTGAGCTGGCAGTGGCAGCTAGACCAAGCTGATTTCATCCAGGAGGCTACTGAATCTGGACCTGTGACTCTTGGTGGTGACATGCGAGCTGATTCACCTGGTGAATATGTTTAAATTTATTTATTTTATTCCTTTGCTATCAAATGTAAATTCAGTAATAACACATTTCTGAAGGACACTCAGCCAAATATGGCAGCTACACCATGATGGATCTCAAAAGAAACAAAGTTATTGATATCCAACTCGTGCAAGTACAACATTACCTGATGATTCCAATACATTTCATGGTTAATTATTCTCAGATCAATGGAGAATTATGTTTATTTTCAGAGCAATGAAGTTGGAAATAGTGTACGAATGGAGAAGGAGGGATTTGTGAGAAGTCTGAGCACACTTTTGGAGAGGGGGGTCGATGTGCAGCAAGTTGTGACTGACCCCCACACAGGAGTTCAGAAGTATTTGTGGGAGGAAAAAAAGGAAATCAGTCACTACTTTGACCCCTGGCACATGGGCATAGGTCATCTTTGGGGATGTATATAGTGAATATTACAGGATTTATTTTTTCTATTTTAAATGTGGGTCTATTTGGCTCTCCATGAATTGGTAAGAAAATCGAAGAGCTGGGGAAGAGAAAGACGACCCAGGATGTGAGACTGTGGAAGGGTTTTGTTCATTTAAGGGAGCAGACGTGGAGACGCGGAAACGTGAGGGGAAAGGAAAATACTCGGCTGGAGCCAGACGGACACCGCAAGCTATCCACGGGCAGCACGGACAGCAGCAGCAGCGGCAGGAGAAGCAGCAGCAACAGCGGAGAGAGAGATCCACGGCCGGATACGCCAGGGCACAGAGCGCAACACGGCAGGCGGGCAGAGTTACTCTGCCCCCCGCGCATAAGTAATTGATCAGTGCCTGGCAGTGTTAGAGTTGCTCTCTCTCTGTGAGTGGTCTGGTGCCGGGGACCTATTTACTGCCGGAGTTGTTGTGTGCCACAGGGACCGGGCCGAGGAGGAGGCGAATTGGATCCACTGTGCGGTGATCCTGTGGTTCCCAGACGACGACGCCGGCCTTGGAGATTCCTTGGTCGAGAGCTCAGCAGGGCCGGACTGGACCGCCTTGTCCCTTGGGGCCCTGCGCACACTCGATTGAGCGCTTTTTTCCCCTTGGCATCATCATCAGGGTTTTTTAATAAATGTCCCTTTTTTCATTTGCTTTGGCTGTCGCACTGCTTGCCTTGTTTTTTTAGAACCTATTTTAATCCTTTTAATATTAGTGGCACCTTCCATTCCACCTGGATCGTGTCACAGATACATAACCCAAACCAATATTACAATAACATAAACTCTTACACAAAACGCTCCTCTTGATAGAGCAAATCTGTTCAGCACATTCTGACAGACAGACCACCTTTCTTCTGTCATGTTGCTGTACAGGACATTTTTAGAGTTTTTCTTTTTAAAGATAAATAATTTTACATTTAAAGAGCAATACTTTCACATTATCAATTTTCCCACACTTTCTGTATACCTGTATTTTATTGTTTTTCAATAAAGAATGAAAAATTATTGAAGTTTATGGTTTTTTAGCACACAAATATCTATCTGTAAAAAATATTTACAAAGCTAATATTTACATAACAAGTATGATTTGGTTTTGCAATACAGCACTCTGTTTATTTTAGTAAGATTTTTAAACCAAGTAAAGTTAGAAAAGAACACATTTCTATTGGCTGCTAAGAAAGTTTTGAACTTAAAACAGGCCTGTTGTAGAAACAACTTGGCATAAATGATTCTTCCTTTTTTTGTCTTAACCAAAGAAATTCCAGTAATTGAGCAAAAACATTTATTTTTTTACGTCACATTTTATAAAATAACAGGACACAAAGTGTCGGGACATTTAAAAAATACTTAAAATAATAAAAGGGGCCCAGAGAGCTGCAGAGTGAGTGGAACATCGGGTTGTGAAGGAAGAACAGTTCTCAACAGTGTGATATAAGGGTGTAGAAGGTGAAGCCGGTGCAGGTCCTTCTTCATGTTCACCAGACATCAGGAGCTGCTCTTCCATGCATGGAGTTGAAAAAGAAGGGGAGAAGGTATTTCCACCTCAGTCCGCCCCAACCGAACCAGGAGACACGGACTTCAGGGAGGCCAAGGTTGTCTCAGAGGGTCTCTGCTGCTCTCTGGGCACCACGCCTCACTCAGCTGTCACCGATGATCCAAATGGCTATGGAGAAAAAAATAACAGGTTTGGTCTAGCTGTTTAAAGTACAAAACTATACATGAAGTGGTCAATACAGATATTTGGAACTTACACTTGCTGCGTTGTGTAGCTGATGTTGGAGACACAGGCTGCCATGGTGACCTTTTAACAGATCTGAGAAAAAATGTAATAAAAGAATGAAACTTAAAAACTCCCAGACCTCATTTCATGATTGCTAATCAGCTATGGCTGATTTATTGTTTGGATCACAGTGAGTTACACTAATTCTAATATATTTTTATTTCTATTACACATACATACTTTTTAACTGTTATTTTCACATGACTGTTATCAGGCTGTCTTGTTCTGGTTCTCATGATAATAATTCTGTTTCTTCCAGTAAGTTATCTTGTGCTTACTTCATCTGTATAATGTCTCTTTACTTTTGGTGAATTGTACTGAGTCCAGAATAAAGGCTACTTGGCTGTACAAGATGCAAACAAGTATTACGTTTTGGAAATATATGAAATGTATTTAGCCTGCTAATTTATCTCAAATATTAATAACTACCGTATTTTCCGGACTATAAATCGCACTTTTTTTCATAGTCTGGCCGGTCCTGCTACTACGGAGCGACTTATATAACAAAACATGTAGGCTACACCGCGCTGCTGCGGGCCGACTCCGACCCAAGAATGAGTTCCCCTGTCCCGCTGGGAGGGTTTCAAACACCCCCTTCCTCTGCTGGAGACCGTGGCGCGCTGCTGCGGCGCATTATTCGGTTATTGTTACCGGTACTTGTCTTGCAATGTGAAACGCTTTGCCTCAGATTTTGTAAGAAAACAAAAATTTCCCCCCAAAATACGACTTATGTATGTTTTTTTCTTCTTCATTAAACATTTAATGACTGGTGCGACTCAGGAGCGACTTAATAGTCCTGAAAATACGGTACGTGATAAATAGTGAAAACTTGCTCAAAGCAAAATATATTTTCATTACGGAAATAACTTATAAACTTACCGATTTAATATTTTTTATTCACAGAAAGGTACTTGTCATGAAAAAGCACTGCAAACCTCCACCTGAACTCCATGCGGTCGATGGGTGTTCCACAGAGTTAGCTCCGGTTGTAGCTAGGTGGCTACATCCGTTAGCTCGGCTCCCACCTCCGCGTTAGCTTTGGGTTAGCTTTAGGTTAGCTTGTAGCTAGTTCGACCGGGTGTCGTCTGTTGATCCCAGCCTTACAGCCCCAACCTCAGCTCCTCCTCTCTTCCCTTTTATGGAATTGTCTGGGCTTGACGGAACCTGTAACACGGTCAAAATGGCGGTGGTGGCCACCTCCCATTTGGACTCAAAAAAGTGATATTGGAGCCTATGGAAAGAAGATGTCCATGTATATTTACGTCGATGGGTTAAACAGTACATGTTAAAATCTAAGCTCAGCTCGGCAGTGACCTAAAATACATAAATATAATTTTACTTACCGAAGAAAATGAAGTGGAGACTCCTTGGATGCTCTATTAGTGCAATTAATACCACAGCAAGTCATGTTGTCCAACAATTGCACAAATAATATACAAAAAAGAATACACAAACACGGAGACTCAAAATCCAGGAACAGTTTCCAGGCCAGAATGAGGCTCTACTGAGGCCTTTCCACGGAGCTAGCTCTGTGGTCACGTGGGTCTGATGCTCATTAATTATACAGAATTTTAGGCTTTTAATACACTTAAACAGAAGAGTGAGAAAAAATTCACCCACCTCAGAGTTGTCATGAGTGTAAACTAGATCATTAAAAAAAAAACATGTTTTGGTACCAGGCTGTAAACATGTTTATTTCTGCTAAGAAATTGGTATTTTTAACATGGGAGTCAATGAGGATTTGCTCGCTTCTGACACCAGCCCCCAGTGGATGAGGGTGGAACTGCAATTTTTGTCACTTCCGGGTTGGACTCAATTTTTCACCTGCATTGTGGGGGGCTTGAGTTTTACGTGTTCTAGTGTGATCTGAGTTGTACGTGTGCTATTGTGATCTGAGTTTTAAGTGTGTGCTATTGTGATCTGAGTTATACGTGTATGCTGTGATCTGAGTTTTAAGTGTGTGCTATTGTGATCTGAGTTATACGTGTATGCTGGTGTGATCTGGGTTTTACGTGTGCTAGTGTGATCTAAGTGTTACATGTGCTAGTGATCTGAGTTGTACATGTATGCTAGTGTGATCTGAGTTTTTTGTGTGTGCTAATGTGATCTGAGTTTTACGTGTTCTAGTGTGATCTGAGTTTTACATGTATGCTAGTGTGATCTGAGTTTTACATGTATGCTAGTGTGATCTGAGTTTTACGTGTATGCTAGTGTGATCTGAGTTTTACATGTGTGCTAGTGTGATCTGAGTTGTACAAGTATGCTAGTGTGATCTGAGTTTTACGATTATGCTTGTGTGATCTGAGTTTTACGTGTGCTAGTGTGATCTGAGTTGTACATGTGTGCTAGTGTGATCTGAGTTTTACGTGTGCTAGTGTGATCTGAGTTTTACGTGTTCTAGTGTGATCTGAGTTTTTTGTGTTCTAGTGTGATCTGAGTTTTTTGTGTGTGCTAATGTGATCTGAGTTTTACATGTATGCTAGTGTGATCTGAGTTTTACGTGTTCTAGTGTGATTTGAGTTATACATTTATGGTAGTGGGAACTGAGTTTGATGCATGTGCTTGTGTAAATTCCATTTGGTACGTGTGTGTTTGAATGTATTTCTTTTCTAAGTAAAATTCTGTCTTTCAAATTGTACTAAATACTTGGCATCTATTGATTTTAATCCGTGCTTAAATTAGGATTTGTATGGTACTATCAATGTTTAATCGAAATGACACATTGAAGAGGGTCAACCCAGTGATCTGAGAAGGTTTTAAAAGTGCTACTTCATAATTACAAATTTATATTGAATAGCAGAAAAACTAAAATGTAATAAACAATTGATCCTGTGAGCCATAGTTATCCATCCAGAATAAATTCGTGTTTTCCTAGACAGTCTGATGAGTCCAACATGTAAATGTGAGAAGAAGGAAATATTTTAATTATTCATCATGGGATTGGGAAACATGTAACAGGGAAAACCCCACCACAGAACATTTAAATGTTTTCAAATAGCCGCAAAGTGTCTCCACATTGTAATATTCTAACTGAACACACACACACACACACACACACACACACACACACACACACACACACACACACACACACACACACACACACACACACACACACACACACACACACACACACACAGGTGTCACTGAGTCATGAGCACCAGGAGCCCATGAGGAATATGGTGGGATGTTATTTAGACACAAACACTCTGGTCAAAATTATGCTTATAGCAGTCTGATTATTGCAACTGAACAGACAGGAAAACATTCTCAAATGATGTTTTCAAGTTAAAGGATTAAATGAAACATGTAAACAAAGATGTAAAAACAAACACACATTAAGGATTGTGTTAATTATCCTCTATGCATTTGTTGGTTTGCTTAGGAGACGCTGATAAAAAATCTGCACCGTAGGTCACGGCGCCACACCTAGACACTCGGTTCTTAATGTGTCTGTTGGTCACCAACAGCATGCTTTGGGCTGGAAACAGAGCCGTCGTCATAGGAACCGAACCGAGGGATGTTGTCTATCAGCTGCCTCTGTTCTGCCAAAAACACCATAAAATGATTGTGTTACTCATCCTACACAAGATTCTTTATTATAGCGAGACAGCAACAAAGCAAAACAGATTTGTTTAAATGTAATATTTAAAGTTTAAGCAGAATAAGGGGAGAAATGTGATGTTAGTTACCTAAAATAATTTTATTATATATTTTATTGAAGGAGGGAGCCCTCATTTACTGGTATCAGTTAGACTATATGAGATATCGGTAAAATGCGGCTAATGCGAACATCTCTAATTTACTGGTTTTAACTTAAGAAGATTTCTCTAATCTCAAACCTGCAGCTGCAGGTGACAGACCTGTTTACCACCTGTGTCTATCTCATAATAAAGCCTTATTTGTTAGCCAGTATCAGTGTGATCTCCTGAGGACATTGAATACTTAAGTGTGTATGGAGAATGGGGAGATAAAGTTAAAGTCCCATTAGTCGTCACACACTGGTGAAAATTTTCTCTGCATTTGATCCATCCCCTGTGGGAGCAGGGAGTTGCAGACACGGCCGTGTCTTGGGAACTATTTGGTGGTTTAACACCTCAATCCAACCCCTTAATGGTGAGGGTCCCACTTTTAGAGTATTTGGTGTGACCCGCCCATTATTAGGACATCATTAAAATTAAGATTAAAATTAAGATGCACATAGTTCAGTCTCATCCAACATATCATTTTGTGTTTTATAAGTAGTTTTATTAAACAAGCATTTTATTTCATTTCATCTAAAGTTTATTTAATTCTTTCTAGACAGAATGTGGTTAAAGGGATCATTGTGGTTGACTTGCATCAAACCTCCTGATCTTATCATGACTCTTCAATGACGTGCTGCTGAAAGCCGTGAGACGTTCAGGTGAGAAGCTGATGAACATTCATTCCAGCAACCGTCTGATGAAGTTATAGTAATCTGATAGGCCCAATTAGTGCTTAATTAGACGTAATGAAGCAATCAGATGATCTGATTCAAGCTCACGTGAGCTTTTATCTTCTACATCTACTTGCAGCCGCAGGGAGGAAACAATGAAATCTCTACTTCTAATTTCTGCAGGATAAGAACCTGTCGAGTGTCTCACTTCCTGTTTGTTTCCGCCTCGTCTCCAACACGGAGCAGACATCCCTGCTGGATAATGCTGGGATCATCTGCATACAGCAGGACAGGAACCTATTGATGACCTTTCATATTAGACTAGAGCAGAGGTGTCAAACTCATTTTAGCTCAGGGGCCACATTGCGAGAAATCTAGTCCCAAGTGGGCCGGACCGGTAAATTAAAAACAACTTCAGATTGTTTTCTTTGTTTTAATACAATCAATATCAAACAAGGCTGGAGCCTGAGGACAGTGTGTCCAAGATAGTACAAGTACAACACCTGAAGTGTACTTGAAAATTTGAAAAAAATTAAAAATCAATCAATAAAAAGACCATTCCTTAGTGATTCAAAGAGCTTACAGATCACATGGCTAGATCAGTTTCATGCAGCACTTAAAGTATATTTGACTCATTTTACTTTACATCTTTTAGCTTTCACCAGCACATCAATATCAGAAGTCACATCCTGAGTGGCGGCCAACTTCAGGATGTGATTCAAGTTCTTGTGTGAGCCTTGAGCGCAGCTTTGTTTTATTTATACTCATTACAGAGAAAACTTGCTCACAAAGATACGTTCATTTTCACTCTACATTGTAAAGTATGAAAATAAAGTTTACACAACCATCTCGCGGGCCAGATTTAACCCGCTTGCGGGCTGGAGCCGGCCCGCGGGCCGCATATTTGACACCCCTGGACTAGAGGAACTAAATGTAGCCCAGAAATCTCAACAATGTCTCAAGTTAGTTAACCCAAGTCCCCTTTTAGCTTTAATATAAACTCCAGACATTCCTGCATCAATAACAGACTCAGAAATGAAGTATTCATACATGCCATCTCTAACATGGAAAGTATTTTATGGCCGAGGAATGTTTTCTGTGAACTGCAGTATCTTCGAGATTCCTAGCGTTCCTCTCTGGTGATAAGCTCGGACACATTCTTTTCACCTTCCACCGTGTTTTCTGACATATGCAATTTTTGCTCAGCAGGATTGCGATGTTTTGAAGATCTATGAGTGAATCTTTTAGATTTTTAATTCTCTCATAAAGAGGATTTTTCGTTTCCTGGTGTTAAAAACTGTATTCATAAAAAGTAACATTACTAGTTATCAAATTATTTAAATGTAATAAAGATTTCATGCTTTCTGTTTTTTTTTCCTGTTGTTTTTCCTGCAGGAAGTTCCAAAACTGGTCATTAAGGAGCCAAAGTTCTTGGAAGACAAGAAACTGCTTTAGGTTTAAGTTAACTCAAGAGGAAGTTTAAAGCCTGGGAGCAGAATTTTATTGTTGCTCTGCAGCAAATTGTCTGCATCACTGTGTTTTTCTGCATTTCACATCACAGTTTGTTTTGTAACACCATCCTGGGAGTTGGAACTGACGTCAGATGTCTTCCGCTCATTCAGGTGGCTCCAGACTGAACTAGGTCTTCGTTTCCCTCATCAGCTCCTCTGCTCTCGTCCTTCCCACAGCCGCCAAGCTCTTCTGCTTCCCCCAACACCTTAAGATCTGATGTCTCATCACACTTCCCTTCAAACTGACTGTCTGCTTGAAAAGAATAGGTTGGATTATTTTTAATTGAGGTTCTGTGGAGTTTTATCATTAGTCGGTGTCTTACCTGCAGATTGTAAAGCTTGAAGAATCAGGGAGAAATTCTCCCAAGGAAGTCGCTTTAATCGGGTTGAGGCAACCTTCCTAATAGAGCTCCGGACCCCACGTGACTCTCAGTTAGTAGACGCCATATTGGCAGGTAAAAGAAGCTAAACAAACACGGATGTAAACATGAACGTGAACGGGATCGGCTTGGATTTTACTTCGTCGGAGTTTACTTCACACTTTAAAACCGAAGAAATCATTTTATAGTCAGAAATTAAATAGACTAAACATCTCCAACCCTTACCGTGCCCCTGGGATACTTTTTAAAAACGCCAGAAGCTGTCGGAGCGGACTTCTTACCGGACCTGGCCGGGGAACCCCTTGGGATTTACCCGGAAGAGCTGGCTCAGGTGGCTGGGGAGAGGGAAGTCTGGGCCTCTCAACGCTACTGCCCCCGCAACCCGACTCCGGATACGCGGATGAAAATGGATGGATGGACAAATAACAGATTTACTTGTAAGTAGTTTAAATAGAGTGCTGTGCTGTTTGAATGTATAAACTGAACACCAAGAGAAATCACTAGTCTTCATTACGTTACAATTGTTTTCCGTGAATAAAATAAATATGCCAGGCAGGAGCATCTCAGGATCTGTCTGAGATCTGTCTCGGTGAGACAGATAATAGCAATCCAAAGTGCTTTTTATGTGTGATCTGACAATTGCTCAACCGTTGCTTAAAAATTAAATACAGCTTAGCTGGTTAATTGCTGTGATCATAAAACACGTAAACGGCAGCACGCAGAAATCACGAGGCAACGTTTTACGTGATGTTTACTTGTTGCTATGAGTAATAAGACAGAAAAAGCCATGCCAAAATAAGTTTAGGAAGCCCACTAAGATTCATAATAAAAGCATTTAAAATAAACACCATACACAGTTGAGGAAACGTTGGTTTAAGTACCTGATATGAAGTGGTCGCTGCAGAAGCGAAAACCTTTACTCTCAGGATCCCACAGCTTCATTTTAGCCCGTTCACTAACGCATTTTTTATTACAATCATCCAACGTTTGCGGCGCTCCGGATCTTGGGGAATCCTGTAGATGGCTCATTCCTTATGTCGTCCGCGTCTGTTCTGCATCCTGGGGCACAACAGGAATCCACCATATTTCCTGTCTGATTGAGTTTTCTGACAATAACAGCTGCCGGCTTCTACCTGCCAAGATGGCGCCGTTTCGATTTGAACTGTTGCATGCCGGGAGAAGTGACGTCAACTCCCGGAGCTCTATAGCGTACTTTACAGTAGCTAATAATAGATTGTGATGTAATGCCGCAATGATTTATGGGACGTAGATCTGGATGAATAGATGTGCATTTTGCATGGGTATATATGGGTCTGAGTCGCTCCGATTATCACAACGTTGTAGTTTTACCTTCTAAACACCTTTTGCCTCTGACTCTAGAGACCGCTGTAGATATCGGATCTGCTCGGGCTGCCAGATCGGCTCGGGGTCCTGCGTCTGCCGATGACGTCACATTACGGAAAATCCACTTGACCGAAATGCATTGCCTCACTTTTTCTTTATTCTTTCACACATCAGTTTTGGAAAGAGCTTAGCAGTTTTGTTAATGAATTCGTGATTCTTACTACCTAAAATGTTTTTGTTTAAACTGTAATTTGTTAATAAAACACCTTATTGTCTTTGTTTTGGCAAGAATGTAAAACTACATAAAACCAACATCAGACTGTCCAAAAGCACAACATTTTAAAATGTAATTACATAATGATCAGCCCTTTTCGTTGTATAAAATGTGGAATTCTTCTGTACATTTCATTAGCTGTATGTAAATAATAATAATAATAAAATAATAATAATAACACATCGAACTTATATGGCGCTTTTTAGGACACTCAAAGATGCTTTCATGCGCTCTCACATTCACACACTGCCAGTGATGGTAAGCTACTTTCCCATTTGGCGCCGTCGGCCCCTCTGACCACCACCAACACAGGCAAGTTAGGTGACGTGTCTTGCCCAAGGACACAACAGCAGTATACCCCTGACGGGAGCTGGAATGACACCCGTGACCCTCCAATCATGAGGCAACTTGCTCTACCTCCTGAGCTACTGCTGCCCCAAACAAATAAACCTACACTTATTTGTTCAGTAAAGTTCTTTAATTTTTATTTTGCCTCATTTAATCAAAATCAAAGCTGCTGGGGGTCTCTGTTTGTCAATTAATGTTTTTGCTTTAATTTTACATTTCCTTTGGCAATATAAACTTTTTTCCTCCATTTTTTTTACTGGACTACAACCACAAATTTGTCTGAACCAATCAAAATGTTTGTGTCAAGTTGTACCTTCCATCAATTCTACGTTCAGCCAATCATCTAGTACAAGGGTGCCCAATCCAGGTCCCGGAGGGCCGGTTTCCAGCAGGTTTTAGTTTCAACCCCGCTCCAACACACCTGATTTCAATCAGCAGGTGATTAACGGGTTTCTGCAGAGCCTGATGAGCTGATGCACAGGTGATTCAACCACTGAATCTAGTGTGTTGGAGCAGAGAAACCACAAAAACTACTGGATACTGACCCTCCAGGACCATGATTGAGCACCCCTGATCTAGTGGGACGTCATCGGCAGGCGCAGGACCCCGAGCCGATCTGGAAGTCTGAGCACATTTGATATCCATACATCGGATATCTGGGGGGACATTTTTTTAGCCCTGCCCAATGAGTATCTAATGGCTTTATTGACAAAAGCCTATAAACACATCAATCATATGGGGGGGGGGGGGGGGGGGGGGGGGATTTCTGATTGTTATTTCAATTTTAAAAAGTTTTTAAATCAACCTGTGTGACCAGGTAAAGACAGTACGCTAATACACACACACACACACACACACACACACACACACACACACACACTTTATTGACTCAGTGGTTCAATCATGATGGTGGAGAGCCTTTTTACATTCATCCGGGCCAGAGTTCAGCCTCCAGGCTCCGACACAGAAACTATGGGACAGGGAAGTAAACATTCTCCTAAATGGGTAAACATTTGGCGGCAAAAATCGAATGAGTTTGGAGATATGTCAATTTTGGGGCATATTTTTAGAGTCTTTGTGCAATGTTTTAAAATGAAACAGGAAGTGGGAAGTTTATGTGTTTGGCGCCCACCCTGCTTCCCTCGCCGAGCCAAGAAAGACGTGGATGGAGATTAAACCGGGTGAAGAGTTCGGTAAAGGGCCGGCTGCTCCAACATTGTCTGGTGTAACAGATATAATAAGGCATTTATAACTTTATACAAAAGGATCAGATTATCCATAAACCCGACACCACCAGAAGATTGTTTTATGGTTTTCCTTAAAGCAAAAATTTAAGAGCCAGTTATAAAAACATGTAAAAACAGGAAATCTGTGAGTTTTGGTCATTGTGCATTTCATTAAATCTATTGTTATTTGATTAAATTAAAATAAATCTAAGCTGGCAGTTAAAGTAATGATGTTATTAAACATGGGGGTTGCATGAAACAACAGAACCTATGATGACATTTAAAGAGCAACCATTTACACATTTGTACAAAACATGTTTAAAACTCTGAACTTATCGATTAAAATTCATCCAACAGTTGCTGTACAAAAAGCAGTGCAGCAGTTTCTTGTTATTTTGAGTTTTCACAAAGTTTTGAGTTTTATTGTTAATGAAGAACATTAGACATTAGGCTAATTTAATTAATTGAGACTTTATTGAGACAACAACACAGTAACACTGATTTTTTTTAATCTAAAAACACATCCAGAAATCCTCTTTTAGTGAAACATCATCAATAATTCATCAAGTGGAGCACTGTCCTCCTCTGCTGAGATCTAATGCCTCAGACCGGTGATGGCTCGGACACAGGTACTGTTCAAACTCACTTCGGTCCAGATCATACAGCATGTCCAGGTGAACCTGGTTCAGATAGATCTCCAGTGAGGGCTTTGATGGACCCACCTGGAGCCTGCAGACTCTAGACTCCCTCTCCTCCATGCCAGGACCAGACGTGGAGAAATGGTGCTGCTGCAGGTGTCTGTGCTGGGAACCAAAGTACTCTTGATGTTCTGCTTGGTGCACAGGAGGGCCTGAGTAAGCAGCAGCTGAACCTGGAAACCCTGAGAGGCTTGGGTGGCTGCTCTGAAGCACGGGTGAATGTGTGAAGTGAGGGGCGGATTGGAGATGCTGCTGCTGGTTTTGGAGCAAACAGGTGAGGTTGCATGGAGCGCTGAAGTCTGAGCTGCAGAGAAAAGCTTCTGCTGGTCTGGGCTGGGAGCTCCTCTTCGGCTGCTTCCTGCGCCGAGGCCTGTATTTGTAGTTGGGGTAGTCTATGGTGTGCTGGACCCTCAGGCGTTCAGCCTCCTGCATGTATGGGCGCTTCTCAGCCAAGGACATGGACTTCCAGGTTTTTCCTGCAATGAAAAGTGAATTTTCTTGAAACACAGCCCCTTCAGTAAGGACTGATTTGGACAGGAGCATTAAAACATTTTCAGCGTTTCTTGGAAACTTTTACCGAGTATTTTGCTGAGATCGGTGTTCTCCAGTTCTGGGTTGAGCTGCGCCAGCCTCCTGCGCTCCTCTTTGGTCCAGATGATAAACGCGTTCAGGGGCCTCCTGACCCTCTGCTGTGTCGGAGCAGACTTGGCTTCAGGACTGGTGCAGCTGGACTCGGAGTGGACGGACAGCGGACTGGAAGGTCCCGGACTCGGGGGGAGCACCTCACTCGTCTGCTCCCCGTCTGTGGCGCACAAACCCTCTCTTTCCGTAGAGTTTGCGCAAAGCTGGAAATGAGCGCGATCTTGGCTGAAATGCATGATGGAGACGGTCACCATCCCGGTGATGCGGAGCGCAGAGGATTTATGCGGCCTCCCCACCAATGGGAGGGCGGGAGGAGTGGATTAAAGGTGTGAAAGGTCCAGGTGTTTCCTCTGGTCTGGAAAAGGCCCCGGCTGACCCCTGATCACCAGTCTTCAGACGGGATTTTTAGGTTGAGAAAAGAAAAAAATGATCAATTATTCTCGAATTCGATGCGTAAAAATGCGCAAGTTTTTGTTTTATCCAATCACAAAAACAACAGAAATACCAAAGAAATATAGGTCCAATAGATTATTTATTATTATTATTATTGACCCCCCCCCCCCCAAAAAAAAACAACAACAACCAAAAACAAAAGAACAAATGAACTTTTTAAAACACCGAACAGTTTGGATCAGACGCACCTGAGCGGCGGAGAGGGAGGCACGTCAAAGTGCGGCACGTAGAGCTGGTTACTGATTACATCACTCTTATCACACATCCACTGACTTTATCAAAGTACATTTTACCAGACTGAATAAAGAAACGTGATCAAGGCCTGTTTATTAACACACACACACACACACACACACACACACACACACACACACACACACACACACACACACACACACACACACACACACACACACAATCCAGCCCTGCACAAATGAGCGTGATGAGGTCATGCCTCCAGCAGATCAACACCAAATTAATCAGTTTAGATAAATGTGGTGCAACAGGGTTTAAATCAAGACCTTACGGGTTTTAACTCACGTGACAAACTTTCCTGTTAGTTTATTTCATTTAAATTAAATGAATCGAAAGTTAAACACATATGGAAAACTTTGCACAATAATGTAAATTATCAGTTTATTTGAGGCATTTTACTAATAAAATCATTTAAACCGGTGCAATAAACACAGAAGCGCAACATCCAGAAAATGCACATTGTGCTTTTAGTTTTAAAAAGCCACAATACAAACTCGTTTAATGACTGCTTTCTTCCTGCAGACGATTTTACCAGTTCTTCTTTTTCTTTGCATAAATCTAACTTTGTTATACTTCAGGCATTGGTAAAGTTATTTCTGGGAGTATATGCGTCATAAAACTGTCCAAAAAATTCCTAAATCATTATAAAAAAGTGGCGCGTGTTTAAATGCAAATTTAAACCTTCCTGAAATTCAACATTTTCCTGCAAAATTATCAGTTGAAATGAGACAGAGGCAAATGAATAATGAAATCACCTTAATTAAAGAGTCACATTTAAATAATATGTTTGTTAGTTAGTTGTTCCGAAGCCTGAATCCACATCCGCCACATGACGCACACTCCTGCGCTCAGCGCGAGGCGCTTTTGGGTTCATTTAATCAGCTTAAAGGCCTCCGCGTGAATACAATAACGTTAGTTTCGGCTGCAGCCTTGATTTGGAGTCAACGATGACAGTTAAATGTTCTGCTGTCCAATCATTTTTGTTCCTGGGTCTTGTCCTAATCTGCCTGGAGACACTCAGGTATCAGAGCATTGTCTCATAACCAAACAAGAATGGGGATTGTTGTCGGTGGCTTTCTGATCACAATGTGCCATTGTGTTGGACAGGACTCATAAATGGGACGCTCCCCTCATGTCTCACTCGGGTCCAGGTCCAGGTAGAGCTGCGGACCTAAAGAAGACTGAAGTCACCTGGGGGGCGGGGGATTTAATCTCAACACCTCCGGATCTAAAAAGTTGGAACTGATACCTTCTTGTATTTTTATTTTTTATTTTGAGCTGAGAAAGAAGCAGGTTTCTCCAGGATGTCTTCCAGGAGAAAGGTGAGGACGATCCTGAAGAAGCTCCATCTGGAGTGTCAGCAGGTCTCAGACACCATTCTGCAGCCTGTGTAGCAGCAGGGGTTCCTGAGTGTGATCCTCCACATCAACAGCCCGGCCCAAACATCAGGCCCTCTCAGAGGATTACATGCCCCCCTGGTGCCACCCCCCTCCTCCTGAGCTGAGATAACAGGTGGGACAACGTCCAGGACACAGGGCGAGGACCATGGGATTGTTTCTCCTCACTCTTTAATTTAAAAGATTAAATTAAGCTCACAACGTGTTTTATTTTTAAGTTTAAATGAGCTAACATGTCACAAAAGGACCATTTTATGATTTAAATAGCACAAATGCAACTTTGTGGTTCATTATCTTTGTTTTGAGCACGGAAAACAATCAAAATGTGACCTCTGACCTCTGGATTAAAACAGATAAAACACAAACTGCAACCGTACAGTTTAAAGAAAACAAAAACAAATGATTATTTTAACACTTTCATGCATACATTTAGGAAAAAGTTGCATTTTATTTGGAGCAATAAGACATCTAATGTCCAGTTTTAACATTATTAGCATGAGATTGTAATGTTTAACTTTTATTTCATATTTCGTTATAATTTATACTTCATCATTTTCCCTCCATTTAAGACCAGTGTGTGATTTTGATTAGAAAAAGGGGCTAAAATGTGCTCCATCAAACTGTTAAAGCCAGAATATACAAAAAGAAATGATAATAATTAAATCGTTTTAGAAAAATTTGGGACAAAAAAGGCAGAAACATTAATATTTTACTATTTTTTTCCTTTTCATTACTTTATATTGATGCATTATTATTGCAGATATGGAAGAAATCATCACTCCCAGTGGTGCATCGTTACAGACCCGCATTTGCAGCTTTTACCTGTTTATCAGCTCAGATTTTCTCCACGTCCAGCCGTCGCTCATCGACCTCTCACCCCACTTGTACTGTAATCAGCAGAAAGCCTTTAAAGCAGCCCAATTCTGTGCAAATTAGGAATTGTATTCTGCCCTGATAAGTTTCTTTATCTGCTCAAGTAAGGAGATCCTTCGAGTGTTTTATTGTCCACACCTCCGAGTCTTGTCGCCTCGTTGGGAATGTTTGTGAAGTCCACAGAGAGCCAGTTTGATCCCTCACCCAGCTGTAATTAACACTACTTATTAACTAAAGCTTGTCTGAGACTGCAGCAATGGCTCCAAACCGACTATTTTAGGCAGCAAAATCACTACTTATTAGATTATTTGGGGCATAAACTACAAATAAGGGAATTAATTATTTTTTAATTACAATCCACTAAAAAGGATTTATGTGTGCACCTCGATCGGCCCTTCTCTCTCTGATGAGAACTCTAAAGGATCTGCTGCTTTGAAGATAAGCGCTGCAGGTCTGCAATAAACAATGATTGTGCTGTTTCTTTCCTGTGGTGTGATTTATTTAAAGTGTTATGCTGTAAGAATTTGGGCTGGTTTTTCCTGGCTGGGCTACGTATGTGTGTGAGGATGTGTGTGTGTGTCCTTGATCGTAGATTGAGGAAAACACTCACATTAAGTCAAACCTTTGACATTTAAAGTGGAATATTTATCTTAAATCTGGCTTTGTTGTTTAAAAAAAGCTTAAATCCAACAGCAGCAACTCTAAAGATAAAATCTGAGTTGTTTATAATTTTGACATTTAAATCTAAAAAAATGAATTTAATGAAGAAAATGGAATTTTCTTCAGGTTGTAAACATTAAAGAAAATCTGCTGATTTCATAAATGACTTGATGGGGTTTGCCCTCCACCAAGGGAGGGGGAGGGGGGGTTGTGAGGAGGGGATATGAATCTTTTGACCCCCCCACACCAGGATACAGCTGCCTATGACTAATTTCTAATTCCCCCCTACAGCCTATGCAACCCATTTCACGGGTTACACACATCGCCAGGCACCTGTTTCCTGTTTTCATTCTTTGAGTTATCTTATTTTCCTTATTTCCCTCTCACCTGTTCCAGTTCACGTTCCTTCCATCATGCAGCTTGTGCTCCGACACGAGACCGTACAATACTCACTTGTAAAGAAAAAAACCTGCTGCATATATGAAAGTGGTAACAACCTGAATACTTCCAATGAACTTTAATCATAATACTAATAATTGTCATATTTATGAAAAAAAAACTGTGTTTTTCTGATTTTGTTGGCCACAGATCGCCTCCAACACCTACGAACTGTAATATTTCAAAAGTTTCTCATCTGTCGGTTTCAGAATCTTCTTCTCCGGCATGTTAACGACCCAGCCTGGAGAGAGGCCAAAGAAGATCTGTCGAACATCCTTCCTTGTGGCAAGCATGTCACAAAGTTCATCCTTTGAAATATCTGGCAGCGCATAGCCGTACTTCTGTGCCAGGGCACGCCGGGCCTGCTGGATGTCTTCCAGATCTGCTAAGTAACCCCGGTTTTCAGCACTCGTGTAGTACGGGACCATGTCCTCTCCTGGCAGCATCCGCTTTGGGATTGGCTGGCCCCTCACGAAGAACGGGACGGGCTTGATCAGGATCCCTGAGGAAAAGAGCAGATCCTCAACCCTTTCATCAACAATCTTCAAATAAAACTCACGTATTACGGTTTCATAAAAACCCATTAGCTACCGAGACTTATGGGATCGTAGAAACTGGTGGTGATGACGCCTCCGTTCTTCTCGATAGCAGCTATGGCTCCTTCAGTTGCTCTCTGAACCTCAATGTTGATTTTGGCTGCAAATATGTCAGCTCCCTGAAAAATAAAATGCATTCTAGTTAAAATGGGAGAGTGAAAAATCAGGGAAAAGGAAGCAGCAGTTTAATGACAAAACTGTCATGTGGTGTCACCTGCTGGTCAGAGTTATTATTGGTGTTAATTTAGAAAACATCACACATCCATAACACTATACACATTTTCTCCCCTCTGAATGAATAATTGTGTTATTTTGATGCTTTTGACCTCCATCCTAGCAGGCTGAGCTGAAGTTTACCTCATCCACCAGCTGGACTCCGTAGTGCCTCTTCAGAGGTTGGATGGTCACTCCTCTGGCATTGACCAGCTGGGTCAGATCTATGGGCTGAGCCGGGTCCACTCGGCCCAGATCAATCAGGTACTGGAGTCGTTTCAGGGTCAGGGGCATGTACTGTGGACGCCGGCTAGGAAGAACAAATAAAACAGAAAAATAACATGACTTAACTCCCTATCCTGTTTGTGATGTATTTTCTGTGTAGTGCAAAAATGCTTTAAGGGTGATAGAACAGTTTTATAAGCTGGTGGGTTACACAGAAATATCAAAAATTAGCCCAGAATTAAGCTATTTATGAGTTCTGCTGCCTAATAAACGTACTGCTTTGTGATCTTTAGATTTTTAAATGATAACTTCCTGATCTACTGATGTGTGACAGATGTAAACCACGGTGACGAGTTTGCACCTGTGTCCTTCGTTGAAACCATATTTTGGTATAACCAGATAGAAGGGGGTCTGCCCTCCCTCGAAGCCCAGCCGGGGTCTGTTCCCCCTCTGCCGCTCTCCTTTGTGACCTCGGCCGCTCCTGTTACCGCCGTGCTGTCCTCTACCTCGTCGTCTCCCCTGCAGACCATTTAAACCACATAAGGTTATTTATCACGTTTACTAACCTCCATCTCTATTCAGATGCTAGTCATGTTAGCATCAGTGCTAATGTAGCCCACGAGACCGGATCAAACGTACCCACTTCCAGGATCCTGGCTCAGGTCGTAGGTTTGCTAAAGTGATCCGCGGCAAATTCTGTAAAACATCCAAAGCTTTACTGCCGGTTTTCTTAGTAACAGACATGTTTCTGCAGCTCACATGTTAAAGTTAGCAAACCAAGGGCAAACTAATCACGTGACTCCACCACACCGGAAGCTATTTCACGGTGGAGTGATGTTTCAAAATAAAGGCACGATACTTGGAATGTCTGGAAAAAAGTGAAGTTTGTATGCATTTCAATATATGAAATATAGCAATTTTAAATGACCGTTTACTTCATTTCTGAGCAACACTAGCTAAAAAAAATGTACAAGGTCTCATGAAAAAGTTGCTGCCGTATTGTAATGTTGCCACTAGATGACGACAAATCACAAGAAAGACCAATCAATGAGATTGGAAGAAAAATTATTATTGATTATTTTAAAATATGCTAAAACATTCCACTTTTAAAAACTATTTATAAATACTATTTAACAATATTTTTTCCGTATTTTCTTTGAATTTATTATATTTTATTGCTAATAAAACAAAATAAAATTATTAAATATACAATAAAACAATTATCAGCAATACAGAAAACAACAACAATAACAGCATGTTATAGTTTATGTGCGAACCTCAAACTGACATTTAAGCGGACCAGTGGCTGATCGGCAGTTAATTGGGGTGCTTTTGAGAACCAATCACTTAAATCAAAGGGCGGGGCTACAAATCCTGTCACAGCAGCTGGCATGGTGTGCTGCTAGCAGCTTCTGTCAGTCAGTGCCACGACTAATTTCTGTCTAAACTAAACTCCCAGAAAGGACAGGACAAGAGACGGTGAAGCGTTGACCTCCATCGTCTGACGGAGCTCGTTCTTCAGTTGCTGTGTATCTGGAGGCCTTCACTTTTGTGTTATATTGCTGTTAGCTACGAAGAGCTAACTTGTTAGCTAACTTGTCCAGCTGCCTCAGCGCTGTATGTGCGGCAACAACATGTCAGCTCCTTTACCTACCATTGTGCCTGCTGCCCGAAAAGCCACTGCAGCGGTGAGCTGTCAGCTCATTTAGTGCTTTTTAGATCAAATCCCAAACATTAGCATGGAACTGCTAGAAATCAGAAGCTGTCGAAATGTGATATGTGTGAACCTCTGTCAGTGAAAATAAGTGTTATTGTTATTTATAGGTCATATTTCTGCATGGCCTTGGAGATACGGGGTGAGTAAAGTAATTAAGTCATTTTTTTGCATTCACACTGCTTTGTCTGTTTAATTAGCCGTTTTATACTGGTTGTTTTGGGTGAAACCTGACAGGCATGGCTGGGCAGAGGCTTTTGCAGGCATCAGAATACCACATGTGAAATACATCTGTCCTCATGCGTAAGTATTTAAGGTTCACAACGCAAGTATTTGATGAGAAAAGTCTGATTTCAAAGCCTGAGTCAAGATTTATGCAGCTTGCTGTTACAATGTCCCTTATCCACAGCCCCACGATGCCCGTCTCTTTGAACATGAGGATGTCCATGCCTTCTTGGTGGGTGATGCAGTTTAAACACACATTTCCGATGACTTCAGTCATTTCCAAATCCTGCACATAATGATTCTGCTGCGTATTTTCTGATTTAAAGGTTTGATATTTATGGGTTGAGCCCTGATGCAAATGAAGATGAGGCTGGCATCAAAAGAGCATCAGAGAACCGTAAATAAATGTAGAAATCTTTGTGCTTTTATTTTTAAATTTTATTTTTTAAATTATTTTTTTATTTCTCTGCAGTTAAAGCTTTGATAGATCAAGAAGTGAAGAATGGAATACCTTCACACAGAATTCTCCTGGGTGGATTCTCTCAGGTACGTGAGACATCTTTACACACAATGTGTTATTTAACAGTTGGCCATTCACACCTACATGATGTCCATCATTTGATTAATTTATTTCAAACGTACAAAACCCACAAAAATATATATAAGATATTAAGAAAAAAATTTCAGGCAGCCAACCTTTTTTTTTTTTTACTATATTTTATGATGTCCACTGCATCAGATCTCTGGAGTAGTTTTCCATGCACTGGGGGTGTTAAGGGACCTTCTGCCTGCATATAATTTAACGTTTGTTGTCTCTTTGGATAAAAATAGTGAGAAGGACTAGTTTGTTTGTCCAGGGTGGAGCGTTGTCTCTTTACACAGCTCTGACAACTCAGCAGAAGCTCGCTGGAGTGGTCGCACTAAGCTGCTGGCTTCCCCTCCGCAAATCCTTCCCTCAGGTAGGACAGAAACCAGCACAAACACTGCTTCACGAGTCATGCAGCAGAAATAAACAAAGGCAATCTAACAGAAAAGTCAAAAGTAGAAGCTGAACTACATTTAAAACATGAATGAAAAGCACCGTTCAATAACTGTCTCTTTAATGGAATCATCCTGCAGGAACGTTCAACATAATCTGTCATAATCGGATCATAAAAACAATCCTAATCTCTTCTATTTTCAGGCGGTTGTCGGCAGTGCAAACAAGGACGTGCATGTCCTGCAGTGCCACGGGGACGCCGACCCCCTGGTCCCTTTTATGTTTGGCACTCAGACATCAGAGAAGTTAAAAACGCTCATCAACCCTTCAAACGTCACCTTCAAGTCATACCGGGGTCTACCTCACAGTGCCTGTCCCGAGGTCAGCCTGCAGACTCTCATCTTACTCTTAGTGCTCTGATTGTCATTCCTTTGAATTGTTAAAATGTCAATTTGTTCCTCTGCAGGAAATGATTGATATCAAGCGTTTCATAGAGAAGCAGCTTCCTGCCATCCATGACGAGTGAACGAAGAGCATCCGCTCACCAGCTCAGAGCTATCGGAGTCCTCTGACTCCTGTGAAACAAGCTGGACTCGATAACAACAGACTTTGTCGACAGTAAACCCGTGCTGCTGCTACTTAGATTCAGACAGAACAGAAACCCATAAGAGGAGTGACTGAGCCGATCCTGCATCTGACCTGGAGCCACACACACACGACTCAGCGTTACATCAGAGTAACTGTAGTTGCTTGATTGTCAAGCCTGTTGCCATTGAAACATGCCATTTTGGCAGGAAAAGTATGTATTATGATCATTAGGGCTATACCTTTTAGGTTACTCGAAACATTCTCACAATAAATGGCTTGTTAAATGTTTTTAATAGTCTGCAAGCAGGTTTGTTGGTCTGCCATTTAACTTTAAAAGCTTAATGCATGAAAGAATTGGGCAAAACATTTCATTTTTTAAACATTAATTGACAGCTTTTTGTGTAACTAGTAGGAAAATAATTTTATATTTTTACTATTTTATTAAGTAATTGTATAATTTATTAATAACAAATCGGCACTTGACACATTAAGTACTTTACTCCTCCACCAGAGGGCAGTATAGGACATTTATAAGAATTGGATTAGTTAAGGACTAATCCGGTTTAATTTAAAATAAATGTGTTACATAAAGAGATTTTGTGATTGTTTTAAGAAATTTGCTTTTAGCCTGGATTTTTTTTTCCCTGTTTTAATAAAAATCAACATTAAATTGGCACAAACTGACACTTGTAGTACTTGAATTCTCCACCAGAGAAGTACATATAAAGGCCTTGAGGTTAATGGCAAGAAGTTTGAATTTGAAATAGGCCTGTCACATAAGTTTGATTTTGTAATTTGCTTTTAGCTTTATATATATATATATATATATATATATATATATATATATATATATATATATATATATATATATATATATATATATATATATATATATATACATAAGTTCATTACCAATTCGTTCAATCTTTCTCAGAATTTAGCAGAGCTGAATAGCAACAGCATTAAATTCTAGTTATGTAGATTAACAACGCTACATAAAATGGCGAGCCAGCCAGTTTTGTTCAGATCAAAACACGCTGTTTTTGTGTTTTATCTTCAATAATTTTTAAAACGGGAGCGGTGTCTCTTGAATTTTCTTCCTCCGGAACGCCCAGGAGGGAAGCTTACTACTGTAACACCGGCTTCTGGCATAAACTTCTGGTAGTCCGAAAGAGTAAACATCAGCCAAGTCTGTAAGAAGCAACCGTTTCAAATTGCATTCTAATTGCTAAAAAGTAAGTGAACGTGTGTTTACTTGTGTGCTTATGCGTTATTCGTCACCTTGTCTGTATACATTGTGTCACTCCTGAGTCAGAGAATTCCTTCTCTCTCTTCACGTTAGCACAAAGCTAATCGCTAGACAGTCCGATCAATTGTTAAATAGCACCTTTTCCGGTGAAATACCCAGACTTTTCCGAGCTTCGGAACAACCAGACTGTGGTCTGAAGAGTGATCGTGATCAAAACTCGACACATCACTGAATGAGTGCACTTTCACCCGCTTAGCTTAGCACAGCCTGCTACTGTCCAAACGCCACAATAGCGGAAGAGCGTCTGCATCTGAACACCGCATAATATACGCTAAAACCGGCCTAAGACAACTAAAACCAGTGCACAGGTCCGTTGCAGTCGAAGAGGTCATCCTATTGGAGGTAAATTAACCTATAAAGTCCCGATTCTGTTCAAATCTAGGCCTTGCGGATGAGCTAAACAGCTTTGTCGTGCGGGAGGTAGGAGCTGATAAGCCAGCACTGAGCAGGGAAACCCGCCGCAGATGCCTGCATTTCCATTAAAATCCCTTTGGGTAAACATTTTGGCTCTTAAAACCGCTGTGTTTTTAGCAAAAAAAAAAAACAGAGCTCAGCTAAAATAGCTCAGTTCGCCTGTGGATCTGATTAAGGGGAGTGACGCAACCGTGCCTCACCTCCATTAATCACGTTCCTGTATGATGTGTGTTTCGACCACACAAGTCACGTACTTTGAGATTTATAAGTTTGTAATTAGCATAACTACAACTCAGACATATGCACGTCACCAAAGAACCTCTTCTCTTCTAGCATAGCTGCTTACCAAATAGCCAGATTTATGGCGGTTCTTTCCTCCTCAATGAAGGATTTGAAGTTCGCTGAACTTACAGCCATTTTCCCTCAGTTTCTCTTTTTCTGGTTCGATGACATCACTTTGGTGATGCACATTTGAATTCCTGAACTTAGTTTTACACAAAACCTAAAATTGTGTTTCCCCCAGTTCGAAAATAAGCGCTTTCTTGGTATCAAAATGCATCTTTAAAATTCACAGACAATTGTGACATTCAGGGCACATAACAAGCGGAATTAGAAAATAGCATTTTAGCCCCATTGACTTGCATTCATTTTTTTATTCTTCTGGGGACCCGTGGTCCGGAAGTAGACGGGCGGAGGCTCCCTGTTAGAATAAAATCAAGATGGAATTGGCTCACATTGATACTTGACACATGTAGTACTTGAATCCTTGACTAGATAGTACAAATTAACTTGTACTTGAATCCTCTACATGATACATGTAGTACTTGAATCCTCTACATGATACATGTAGTACTTGAATCCTCTACATGATACATGTAATATCTTCGAATCCTCGACTAGATAGTACCAATGAACTTGAACTTGAATCCTCTATAAGATGATACAAGTAGTGCTTGAATCCTCGACTAGATAGTACATGTAACTGAGTCCTCCAGTAGAGGGCAGTAAGAAACATGTATAGGCCTTGATAAAGCAGGATTTTGAGGAGAGTACTGATCCTTGCACATTAAAGAGCAAGTCACCCCCTACCAGAGTCTTAATCAACTTCCATTTCCTGCTTGAAAAATGCAACAAATGCTGTTGCCTAGCAGACCGAGAGGGTGGAGCTGCTAACAAATACACACACACATGCTCACAAAGACATTTTGATACCATATGGAACCAGCTAACTTCCTAGGGTACCTCTTAGCCAATAGCGATGGCAGATTTAAATTCAAATACAGTGCAGAGTTTTTACCTGACAATGGCACAACACTGACAGTTTCAGGCAGAAAATTTAAACTAAAATGCACCAAAGTGCTAAACTATTGACTACATGTGTCTGCAGCACGATTAGACACACATTTATATAGTTTATCAGGGAAAAAATGTTTATTTGGGGGTGACTTTCTCTTTAAGGGTTTTTATATTTTTAGTGAATTTCTTTTACTTGTTTTTAGTTAAATTAGAAACTTTTTTGTTTTAATAAAATCAAGGTTGATGAGATTTAACAATAATTTAAAATAATATTTCTGGGATCAGTTCTTTAAAGAGCAAGTCACCCCCTACCAGAGTCTAACTCCACTCTCACTTCATGTTTAAAAAATGCAACAAATGCTGTTGCCTGGCAGACCGAGGGCAGAGCCGCTAACAAATACACACACACACACACACACACACACACCACAGCATTGTGACATCATAATGTACCAGTTTACATCATAGCATACCTCTTAGCCAATAGCGGTGGCAGATTTAAATTCAAATACAGCGCAGAGTTTTTACCTGACAATGGCACAACACTGACAGTTTCAGGCAGAAATTTTAAATTTGAGCTAAAATGCACTAAAGTGCAAAACTAATGACTACACGTGTCTGCAGCACGATTAGACACTTGTTTATTTAGTTTATCAGGGGAAAAAAGTTGATTTGGGGTGACTTGCTCTTTAAATTCCTTCAAAATAAAGCAAGGATGAACAAACAACTTAGCATCTTCAGTAACAAAGAGTTAAATATCCACTTGATTTCAAATGAAAGCAGAAAACATCTGATTGTGCTTTATTATAATTTGTGAGAATTCAAATTGCTATTTCACACAAATTCCCTTTTTAAATACATAAATATATCAGTGTTCATGGTCATGTATTCAAGGTATTTTCCCTGTTTTTGTTTAATTTAAATATATGACTAATATCACAGTATTGAAACACACAGACAAGATTGATACACTCATTTTTTCCCCGGGTATCAGCTCATCAGGTCATAAAAACCTTTTTGTCTTTGAGACGAGCTGAAAGCACCAATGTTTATAGTTTTTGTGTAGATGATGTCATATTCCAAGGCACTTTTCTGTTCACTCTAAGTTACAGTTAAATACTAGTTTCTACAAGAACTGAATATGCATTAAGGCTCACAATATACCTAAATACAAATGCAGTGCTCACAGATACATGCTTTCCATCCTTGGACAAGGTAGAAAAGTGCAATGTCAAGCACTAGGGAATATATATATTTATAAAAATATAGATATGTTTATTTTTTTTAACAAATACAGTAACTGACGCTGGACCTAGCCTTTGTTCTTGGTTGCTCTGAGGGGTTTTGGTAAGCTAATCATGGGTAAATAAACGGTATACCAGCTGGATAACAGCTGGGCTTGAGGACTGTTCATTTTCCTGTCTGTCTTTTGTTTAAATAGCAGAACATGAAGACAAAATTCCTGTTTTTTTTTTTGTGTGTGGGATGCATGCGCCAGAAAGCTCTGTGTGTGTGTGTGTGTGTGCGTGTGTGTGTGTGTGTGTGTGTGTGTGTGTGTGTGTGTGTGTGCGTGTGTGTGTGTGTGTGTGTGTGTGTGTGTGTGTGTGTGTGTGTGTGTGTGATAGAGAGTCTATGGTTCGGGTGGGGGTTCCTCCAGGCTCTTGAGCAGATCTGTGTAAGCTGATGAGTTAATGAAGCGAGGGTATGAGTCTCTCTGCATCAGAGTGTAGATCTGCTGCTGGGCGTCGTCGAAGGTGCGCGAGGTTGGCTCCAACATGTTGCGGTTGATCACCTCTCGAACCCGTGAATCCAGACTCACCTGGAGGAGATGGAAGAGTTGTGAGGCACTTAATGTTATTGTTTAAATTTTAGTTGCTTCTATGCGCACAATTGTAGACCAGAACTTTGGCAGAGGACTGTATTTTCATCTTTTTCTGTCCAGCCATTTAACTGGGACAAGAATCATTCAGGCATTGACGTGGAAATCTGGAGTGTTTTTTGTCAGCTGGCACCAACTAGAGGTGGGAAAAAGTATTGCTTCTCAAGCCTTTCTCCCTTTCAGGATGACGGATGGAAGTAACGCCTCTCATTCATGAACGCGCACCTCTAGCTGGAGTACGTGTCTATCAGTAATCTCGCCAACTCTGCATCAGTCTAAGTACATACACAAACACACATTTTGTGACTGACATCTATGAGTGGATGTCTAATGCTATTGGCTAACACTGATTGACTCAGTTTAAAGAACGTGGAGCTCTACGGGACCTGGGGGATGCATTACCTGCATTCAACACAATCTCACCTGACTGCCGCGGTAAGATGGAGGAAACCAACCCTCTGGCACAGTGTTTGGGATTCCCAACGCGCCAGGAACAAATGCTTGGTCACCCATCGTCTTTTTCCGATGCTTCGGGTGTGAGATTGTGTTGCTACATTATATCACAATAATGGATAAACCCTTGTTTACTTCAAGTGCGAAAAGGCTGCGCTGCGGTTTCTGGACGGACTGTTGTTCACACCGACTTCTGTTGGCGTGCTGAACATCCCCAGATTTGTGCTCCCACAAGAGCACCAAATTATTAGAATTTTGACATAATACATTTAAGTTATGCCTGTAAAAATAACACAGACTATCATAGACTGTAAAATGATATCCCCATCATTAATAATAAAACAAAAGCCGGCAAAAATAACACTGCACAGGTTTTATTTTGAAAATGTACCGGATGCACCTTCCTCTATCGTGTCTCACTTCCTGTCTGGTCTCTTTAATTTCCTTAACTTCATAACAATTTTACTGTTCTAAATGTGAAAACAATTAATGCTGACATAAAAATAATTAAAAACAAATAAAATGGTTTTTTGGCCCTTTTTTGTTTTGTTTTGTTTTGTTTTGGGTTTTTTCCGCTCAAATTTAAGGTAGGCGTGTTTTATCTTTTAGACTAAACACTCTAACCCTAACGCACCCTAAATATTTCACCGGCCCCCCCATGAACATTTTCTAGGGGCGCCACTTGTTTGAAGAGAAGAAATGGAGATGAAGACGTGTGTTAGATTAATCTCAGCTCATTTTTTCCCAGTAATTCAGATTTGGATTCTTTAAACCTAATTTCTGCTCTGTGAAAACTCAACTAAATAACATAATTCCACCAATTATTTACGAGGATTGTTGTTCATAAATATGAAATGAAGGGCAGATTTTGCAGATTAGTGGAGTCCATTTCATAAAACTTGGTAATGATCCCTTAAATATTCCATCCGTTGTAACACAAAAGCAGCGAGGCAGCAAGCCGTGTCATTAAAGAGCCTGAATCCAGAGACTAAATCAATAATGGCATCATTTAGTTTTCGGATGATCTGTTTCCTGTTTGCTAATCAGTTTCTTTGTAAATCTGGCTCAGAAGTAGCCACACCCCCTCTGGCTGTAGCATCTCACCTCTTTAGGGGACAGAATGGAGATGAAGTCCTCGTAAATCTGACGGACTTTCTCCTCCACCACGGTCTTGTTCGTCTCCTTTTTGAGCTCCTCGCAGGCGAGCCAGAACATCATGTTCTCCTCGCTGAACTCTGTCCTCAGGAACTGCCTGAAGCAGCTTCGCCCGGCTGCGCTCTTCATCACCTTTTCAAACGACACCACCCAGGAGCGAGCGTCTTCCAGGGTCGGCTTTGGGCTGAGAAATTTAAAATGTCTCTCTAAAATGTCAACAATCATATCTTTTTATTCGAGGGGCTTGTTTTACCTTTCTTCACAGTGAGCGTTTCCTTCTGGCCTGTGCTCAAACGTAGACCTCTGAATGGTTTCATCGTCACTCCTAACAGTCAAACTGGAAGAAACATCCATAAATTAAAGGGATTATATTTCCTGAGCATCATCATAATTTGTTTTATTTTTTTACAGGCTCTTGAGTCATTCAGCATCAACTTCTTTAGTAAAAATGTAAATAAAAGACCCAGAAAATCTACAAAAATAGATACATTTTAGGTATATTTGCTGGATGCATGTGTGAGAACACCCAAGTAGGATTAATATTTGCTCTTCCTCACCTTGCAGAGGTGCAGGAACACAGCGTAATGTTTGTTCCTTGCTTAAAATGACAGAACACCTACGGTGGTTTCGGGAGGATCCACTGAGGACGCCTGTTTAAATAATAACAAAGTGAGCCAACTACTTTCTTCATCCTGTGTGTGTGATTAAAGTGTCCCCAGCTCCTGCTGGAGCAGCTGGCTGAGCGCTAATTGATCCAGGTGAGAGTCCGCCATGAGGAATCCCACTTGGGATTGTGCAACGATTAAATGAAATTCACGTACACGTGGAGACAAAATGAGTTGCCCATCCCCTGAGGAGCAAATCTAAGTGGACGATGTACAAGTTGGAGGCTGGAGTCAACAGTGCAGCATTACAAAACAGGTTAAAACCCTTGAGACCTTCATCTGGAAGATCGCTGAGGTCCTGTTGTTCTGGGTGAGGGTGTGGGCAGAGGAGAGGAAGGCACAAGCATATGAACGAGGGCTGCATTCCATTTTGAATCCAATGACATCAGATTAAGAGAACAATCAGCATGCACAGCTGCAGGTGTGGAATGTAGCCATCATCGGAATTGCTCGAAGTTATCTAGGCAGACTAATTTTTAATTAATAAACATCTTGATAGATTTACAAGGTCTCCACTTGCTGTTTCAGAGTCCAAGTCTGGTTTAATCACGCATGGCAACCAAGTGCTCTGATTGGCTATGGAGATTTCTATTATTATTATTTTTCCCTTTTCAGCTTGGCCACATGTTTAATAACTAAAAGTGTTTAAGCCTAAAAGTAAAGTAACAGCCCTATTACAGTTGCTGGCATGTTTCTTTTTGGAGCCAGAGAGAATTTTAACTCACATTATTTTCATTAAAATATTGTTTATTTGAAAGAGCAATTAGAAATAATAACTGAATTTTGAGTTTCTAAATAAAAAAAACTTCAACTGGTCTGCAAGAACTTTCAGCTTGTTTGTTTTAGGGCCACAGAGTTTGGACCCCACAGATTTACATGTGGGGGCAGGGCTTAAAACTTTAACTGCAGCCAGCCACTAGAGGGGGCTGCTTGTCTCAGTAGGACATATAGCCAATACTGTCAATTTGCTGCACCACTGTGGCGGCATCAGGGAGCCTTAGGTCGTTTGTAGGTGGTCAGACCGTGGCGGTCATGTGGCACAATCGTGTCCTTTTTATAAAAGATAAGGCGATGGCGGCATAAAGAAGGTATGGAGGCGGTCTCTGCACTGCTGCAGACTTCCATTTATCTTGGACACAACTTGCTTGCTATGTTGTTTGAAGCCGTGATCATTACGTTTTTTTAACAAGCCGTTCCTAAAGGTGTCTGTCCCCATCAGTCCCCGCGCAGTCTCAGATGATCTGAGCTCCAGGTGTAACGGAGGGAAGCAGGAGCGCTGTGGTGCTCCAGTCTGCCATCTCAGCTGATTTAGTTCAAAAAGCAAAGCTTATGGCCCATTTTTACTTTCTTCTTCAGCAGTAACTCCCTACGTCATCATGACGCCGCCCTCTGCTGCGCCAATCAATTCATGAGGCAGACAATTACAGGAATATTACTACCAAGCGAGGATGAACGAATGGCGCAAAATTTGTGCAACGTCATGCCGACATGGTGTGTATAAGACACACCGTTGCGGTAATATTACGCCGATTTGCCGACACGGTGTGTTTTGTAAAACGGGCTTATGGTTGTGTTCTCATCCAGGGGCTGCATTGTGTCATAGCAAAGCAACAAGACTGTCCAAATTAAGAGGGTACTCAAAATGAGCCCTTATTCTCAAAATGAGTCAAGGACTTGTGTACCCTCCTAGGCTAAGGCTATCGTAGGATTCATTGTGGATCGAACTGGATATTTTGGATTTTGTAGTAACTGTGGAATAAGCAGGCCCGGATTAATGCACAGGCTTGATATGGCTTAAGCCTAGGGGCCCACGTGTGTTCTGGGGCCCCCGTTGGCCAGCTAAAAATATACGATTTTATTTAAATTTACATGCAAAAATATTCTTCAACTGTATTGGCAGACAAAATCATAAGCGACACTGATTGGGTAAACATTGTGGCGGTCTTGAGTTAAGTAACGTGTCACGTGACTCGTCATATTCATGTGTCATAGGCTGATGCACTTAACGAGGGAAAATGAAAAAAATGTCAGAAAGAAAATATGAGAGCGGCGCTCAGATAAGAAAAACGGACAGAATCAAAGAACAAAAGCACAAAAATCTTCTGCAGAAAATCCCAAAATTGTCAGGATATTTTAAACCTGCTGCTGGACCCAACCGCAGGTTATAGAAATGCAAGACGTTCACGATGAAGGCAACAGAGCTATGCTAGCTGGAGCGGCAGAGGTTCATGATGCTAGCTCAAAGGAGGGAACGAGCAGCTGATATTGTCCACTTGGGGCAGAGGCAGACCTGCTTCAAGTAGTTTCTGATGGGAGCCCGGCAGAAGGCCCTAGCCAGGTGACGCTGATGGTGGATGCTAACTTAAACCCGGATCCTGGCTGCTGGGGTGAAATGGATGAAAATGCCAGAAAATATTGGTAAATCTTGGTTAGTTCACAAATACACTATGATTAATTATATTAACATTTTTAGTTGTTTGACAGCTCTAATTAAAATAAATATCTGCAGATAAGAATATAGGATAAGAATATTTCGCTCCGATCAATCATTTTTGGTTCCGAACAAGTGTAGCCTATGGGCCCCTGTACACCTCAATCCTCCCCTGGGAATAAGCATGAGAGGATTGTGGTTTTAAACGCCAATATATTAGAAAACAAACAAACAAAAAAATGTTAAGCAGTTGTGTTGTAAGCACGGGAGGCTCTAGACTTACATGGGGTGGGGGCCAGGCTGGGGACTTCTCTGCCACCATCTCCCTATTTAGTTAGATTAGTTTTAACTTCTATTTAGTGCCATCATAGGCAACACAACACATGCTGAGGTAGGGCAGGAATAAATATAAAGGCTAGACTTCAAGTTCACAGCTGCTCACTTCTGGTGTTAGCGGTCGAGGAAGAACTCGATCTACGTGGACTGGGTAGGACAAGTCCTCACATGTTACCCATGAATTTGTACATGACCTTTGTCCTTTTATAGCTGATTCCTGTTTCTGATACACTCAGAAGACCTGTGGGATGAGGTGCAGGCTAGAAATGGCCCGGGAACCACCAGTTGATGGTCAGAAAATGTGCAGTAGAGGATTTCCTTTTTGTCTCTTTGTTGTTTGGTTTTATTTTATGGAGTCTTGAGAAGCAGAGTCAGCGTTCTGAGAATAAATGTTGTGAACTGATGTGAAAAATAAAGTAAATGAGTGATTTGGAGCCCCTCCCCTGCGTGCTCCCCTGCTGTGTGATTACCAGGAGCAGCTACAGCAGCAGCACCAGCAGAAGCAACAGGCGTTTGAGGCGTTGGTGGGGGTGTTTCCCATCTTGTGGTGCGCTTGGAGGACACTGGCAGCTGCTTCCTGGTGAACCTGCATCTGTCTTTTACGCATCTCCACCCGCTCTGAGCCCATGGACTGCAGGGAGGAGAGAGGAGAGGAGAGAATCGCTGAGGGAGGGGAGCTTACCCGCATCAAATGTGAATATTACACATGAAGAAAAAGTCTGCACGCGCTTCTGTTCTGAGGAGCACCGCATCTTGCGGAATTCACGTTCCTGACGCGACAGGTCAACTTCTGCCCAATGAAACCTTTGAGATTTTCAGACCCGCAAACAAACCAGCTTCTAATACTAAGAAGTAATAAAAACAGGATCAAATGTCAGAATACAGTCAACCCCGATTATGACGCGCGTCAGCCCCCCTCCGCTCTAATGACACCGACGAGGCGCAGAGATCGCATCCATCAGTTGCATTCTCCGGAGGATACGCACGCATGATGGTGGAAAACCACTCTCCCCCAAAGCAAGCGGCCATTTATAGAAATACAAAGAAATGATCTGATCAGAGGCTGATACATTATAGTTATTTATGTTTTTAGGAAAAACACAGATTTCCAGATATCTCTAATAAGACCCCTGAATAAGATGATCCAGTTTGAGTGATCCATTATGAATCCTGATTTTCATGGATCAGCATATGGACGCTCCGTATTAGTCCCACTCTATACACGCTAATACACCTAAACATCACCGTAAGGGTTTCCCTCGTTAGATAATGAAATCACACAATGAAGTGTTTACTCACTGTGTCACCATGAATGCCAGAATACAGGTGATTTCAGCCCGATCATCCGTCTGCCTCCACTTGACACAAACCAGTTGGTTTCCTCTTTGCGCATGCGTTTCCTGCAAGTGTGAACAGATTTTTCTGCACCCAGTATGGTGAATGCATGTCTTCTCTGGGACAAACTGGAACTAAGACTCTTAAATTTCACGCTTCTGTTGCTACACACACACACACACACACACACACACACACACACACACACACACACACACACACACACACACACACACACACATATATATATATATATATATATATATATATATATATATATATATGTATATATATATATATATATATATGTGTGTGTGTGTGTGTGTGTGTGTGTGTGTGTGTGTGTGTGTGTGTGCGCACACATATTCTTTGCTATTATTATAATAAATTAATAATTAATAATAAATATGAAATAATCATCTATCCATAAATTCAAATAATGAATTTCTAACAAATGTTATTTTTGAAAATGAAGCCTCTGGTTAATTTGAATAAACATCTGAAAAGCCTGATTTCCATAGTTTCTGGAGATGCGCTGTACCTCATGTGACCACCAGAGGGCAGAAGCGTCCCACCAAAGAAGCGACAGCAGGGATACAACTTTATTAAATTACGTAAAAATAAACAGGAACAACATTTTGGGAGTTTGCAAATTTCACATATTAAACTATTATTTCAATTGATCAATTTATTTGTCATAAATTCAAATTACACGAGGAATAATTTAGCAGCCATCCTCATAGGAACTAAAACACAGAGTTGCTATTTTAGTCTTAGGCTACACACACACACACACACACACACACACACACACACACACACACACACACACACACACACACACAGTTTAAAGTCGAGTTAGAGCTTATATAGTTTGTTCAGGCTCTCTACAAGTTAAAAATAGCTTTTATTTCGAAAATATGATATAAAGATTTTTTCTTAATTCATCTTTTTACCCCTGAGATGAATCCAGTGAAATTTGAATTGAAAACCAAATCCAAATTAACTAATTATTCCACAAAATGGAACTTTTTTGAATTACTTTTTGCACAGATTATGTTTTTTTACCCTTTGACTGTGAATCAAAACTCTGACATGAAAGGGATTGCATACAGGGGTGGTTCTAGGGTGGGTCAGTGCCACCTTGACAGCAAGTGTGGACCCCCCCACCCCCCTGCTGAGTGCAGATCCTAAGCATTATTAAATTAGGATTTTTTGTGATAATTTAGCCCGTTGCAAAACATAGAACCAAAACATGTGAGTTAATTTAACTAAATTTAAAAAGAGAAGCTGAGATAAATTACTAAGATTTCAAAGTTTGTGCTAAATAGCTTGATTTTAAAACTTACTGTCACATCTAAATCTGTGAAAATCACCATAAATCTAATTGTCAAAGCAATTGCAGAAACAATTTAAAAGAGCTAGGAGGTTTTCCTTTCCCAGCACCTAGCTCCTCACCTGCGTGCTCTTGACTGACCGCAACAGAACGTATACGTTAGACTGCAGCACACTCACAAGCACGCCATCGTCTATACCGCTGACGTCGTTAGGTCCGTTTTAGGGGGGCTTCAGCCCCCCTCAAATAATCACAAGCCCCCCTATCATTTTGAGTTTTTTTTAGGGCCGGGACTTTAACGCGTTAATTATGATTAATTAGAAAAAAACGACACGTTAAAAAAATTTCACTCATTTAATCGCAGCTTGCATTTCGAGCATGGCGGAACCTTTGTCATTGCACGACTTCCTCGTAGACAGAATGTCACTGACGCACACAACAATGCACAGTGCTAATGGCTACTGAAACGGAATAAAAACAGAAAGAAGTTGCCTTGCTTGGACTGATGCAGGATTTAGGAAACCCGTCCGCCTCTTTTCTTAACTTGAAAAAAAAACTTCCAGACAACAACGGAGTCCGTGTCGCGGACATTTTTCAGAGATCGTCTCTGCTTCGGCTGCCCGGTGGCACCGGGAACTTTACAAAAGCAGCGGTAAGCTATTTTTTAACATTTACGTAACATCTGTGCAGCGCTGAAAGCACCAGACAGAATAATTCTGTGCCCTAACAGTAGTTTATGAAAGTCGTCAGACAAACGAGAGGCACCTGGCTGCCGCTGGGAGAACGCTCCGTGTTCTCACTACTCTGTAAACAATCACAAACAACGTGTATTAAAGTTGAAAACAGAAGTTTAAGTTGAAACAGAAACCCTCTGAAACTTTTCTGATGATTTTCTAAACAATTCTGTTGGGGGATTATATGTTTCTGAGACGAGTCTCTGTCTAAACATCACATGCATTACTATCATTAAGCAGTGAGGTGTGTTGAAGCTGTCATCAGCTGAGGGGCAGATGCTTAAGTATATCAGGGGCAGCGAGGAACGAGAACGTTGTGATCAGGCTGGAGATCACACCAGATTGCTGCTGCAGGCATGAATCTGCGGGTCTGCAGCATCCCCTTATTAACGTGACATCAGGACTTCCCATTTAAGGAAGGTCTGCTCACCTGTTCGTCAGATCATTATTTCCTCGCCATGATCTTTTATCTTCCCATCATCCTCCAGTCATCCAACTGGAACCAGTTAGTGTTCCTGATCATTCTCAGAATATGCCATGCCTGCTCTGGTGTTAAAAGTTAGTACATTTAATTCCTAGATCATATTTGTGCCTGTTCTACTGTCATTTTGAAGGATTATTATTTATGTGTGTGTTTTTACTACATTATGAGTAGAAATGCTAATAAAAACTCCCAATTATACAAACAAGTGAAACTGGAAAAATTTGTATCTGGTGCAAAGTCAAATTTATTTCAGTAATTCAACTAGACAGAGAGACTATTTAAAGGCTCAGGAACCCTTTGCAGGCGTTTTCTATTTGTAATTATAAATTTTAGTTGATTTGGGTCTTGTTTCATATCACACAGTGACATTTGATTAATTAAAATGCATTTTTTTTATTAAAAGCTTTAGTTTTACAGTAATAACTATGTCTAATGTTTAATTCTCTGTCTCATAATTGTAATTAAGTTTTGCTTTGAGAGCACATTTTCCAGAACGATTGAAATGTGATTAATTTAGATTAATTAACCCTTTGATGCATAATGGTCACTACAGTGGACAGGTATTCAAAATTGTTATTTATTTATTTTTGTTATTAAGCACAGCTGTTGAAGAATTTATTGCACGTGAGCCCCTCCATTTGGACTTCAGTAAGTCAAGCCAACATATTTCATGTTCAGAATGCAGGCTGTCCACTGAGGTTGACATGTAATAAATTAATTGTAAATTAACAAAACATTACAAAAGATATTTGTTGAAATTTGTTTCATTCGCACCTAAAAATGAATGAAAAAATTGTTTAAAAAAATCATGGTTGAAGATTTCATAATTCATGCATCAAAGGGTTAATTACAAAGCCCATAATTAATTAGATTAAAATTTTTAATCAAGTCCCAGCCCTAATTTTTATATATACTGTTATTTTGTCTTGTAATTGTTAATTACATACTCCTTTATTCCATATCATATCAGTGTTATTCATATATTAAAACTGTCAACTGCACACTCATTTGGCAGAATAAAAGTTTGACAATTATTCATTTGTTCTTTTGTCATATTTCAGTAACATTTATAATTAAGCAAGTTATAATTAAGCAAATTAAACAAATGACTGCAACATTTCCCCCTGTTAAGTGCAGTAGACTGAAATGAATAGCTTTATTTGGAAATATAACATATCTAATTTTTAATGGACTTACATCAAATCTTTCTTCAACATAGACCCCACTAATTAACTGATTAAGTGTTATTTTTTTTTATAAAAAGAGAGAAAATGCACAAAGGTAGGAAAGGAAAATAAAGTGATAAAATAATAGGTTTTGTTAAATGTTCTTCAGATAATGAATTAATTGACAAAGTTTTTGCAGGGTGTGACAAAAAATGTTCAAGGTCAAACTCCTGGGGCTAAGCCCCCCTATCTCTCAATCCTAGTGACGTCTATGGTCTATACGTACAATAGAAAAGCCTGATTACACTTCTGATTTGTGCTCTGGAGTTTCACTGGGCAGCTCATCTTGGGAAACGTGATTATCCACTTCAGCAGAAGTTGGAGAGAGTGAGCTGTGAGACGGCGGCGTGCAGAAGAGGAGGTGCACGTCCCTCCTTTTCCAATTTGTATGTCTGCTACAGCTGTAAAACAAATCCAGTATGAAGAAGCCTCTGCCTCTGAAGCTCTGAATAAATCATGCATCTTGTAGCTGTGGTAATCTTTTGGAGGAATTGCTTCTTTAATGAACCCTGCTCTCCGCTGAAATAACCGTTACTGTGATCTACAGCTGGAACCCATCAGCACTTATTTGATTTTGAAACTGTGAATATTTTCACGTGCATCATAAACTATGAATAAATTGGGCTTTGCTGTATGAAAATCATTAAAAAATTCTATATGGTGTCGGTTTTGCAGTCTGAAACCATCCAAAAACACACCGACTAAATCACCCAAGCAGCTGTCTCACTGCTGCTGCAACAATTCATGCTGAATATTTCCCATTTTTCACATCTGCTGCTCGATGTGACTAAACGTCGTTATTCCTACTCTGGTGGTGCAGAAGCATCTTTAAAAAAGACTAAAGAGTAATTGGTTTTTACACATCTCATCATCTGTAATTTAAAGTCCAGTTAGAGCTTAAGACAGTTTATCTCAGAGGCACAGAAGCTTCAGCCGTAATGAATTTGTTCATTTAAAAAAAAATCTTTTTGGAGCTTGGTTGCCACGCTGAACTGCTGCTCTGTTAGAACGTCCTGCAGAGCTCAGTGCAGCATCCATCTGCAGGGTGAGAACACCCCCACGAGTCCAGGGGGAAATTACATCCACCGCTGACAGACTTCCCTTCATTTCAGGATTTCTGTTGAAAACTGAAGGCTTGATCTGACGTTAATATTAATCACTCTGAGTGTTCTCCATGTAAGCAATTAACCCTCTAAATGGCAGGTCAGACACTCACAAGAGAAGATTTTCATCTCTAGATCCCACTCAAACAACTTAATCAATCAATAAATAAACATTATATATGCTGAAAAAAAATATATATAATGATATGTTTGAACATAAGGTTAAACACTATTCCCTTA